AACCCCATCTCTACTAAAAAAAGATACAAAAATTAGCTGGATGTGGTTGCTCACACTTGTAATCCCAGCTACTGGGACGGCTGAGGAAGGGGAATCACTTGAACCTTGGAGGTGGAGATTGCAGTGAGCCAAGATCAAGCCATTGCACTCCAGCCTGGGTGACAGAGGGAGTCTACGTCTCAAAAAAAAAAAAAAAAAGTTTACAAAAATAAATGGCTGGAATATATTTTCAGGCTAAGTGTCTTAAATAGTTTCTAGAGTTAAGAAAAAAAAATCCGTTGTGTTTATCCAGGTGTGATCATACTGTAAGGAATTGATCCCCTGTCATCCAAACTTTGGAGAGTGTGATACACAAGAATGTTGTTTAGTATGATCAATAAATTAATAAACTAACAACCATTTAAATCTAATATCTTATATCAATTGGTATGACTAGTTAGGAGTTTAGATGACAGAGGTGTTCATCTACCTCAGGAGAAGGAATAATGCCTGGATTAACAGCCTAAGAGAATATTTCTAGCAGATACTTAATATTGTTTATTAAAGTTAGAGATGCTTATCTGGAGGCACAATGATACGTCATTCTAAGCCATTAAAACTTTTTATAGTAATTTATTTTGATTGTTTCTTATTACTCATACAAAAGAGAAAATCAGATTAAAGAAAGCTTGGGTGATCAAAATTAATCGTTTTTATTATTTTTATTTGAAATTGTTATTTTTTTTTTTACTTTGGAGTTGCTCTTGACAGTAGTTAAGAAAGATTTTGAAATTCTTGTCTATTTTGTGGATGTTTCAGATTTTTTTTTATTTTAATTTTTAATTTTTATTTTTTGGTCTTTTTTAAATTGCATTTTAGGTTTTGGGGTACATGTGAAGGACATGCAAGATTGTTGCATATGTACACACATGGAAGTGTGATTTGCTGCCTTCCTCCCCATCACCTGTGTCTGGCATTTCTCCCCATGCTTTCTCTCCCCAAAGATGATACATATTTTTTTGAGCCAGGTTCTCGCTCTGTCACCTGGGCTGGAATGCAGGGGCACAATCGTGGTTCACTATAGCCTCCACCTCCCAGGCTCAAGAGATCTTACCATCTCAGCCTCCCAAGTAGCTGGGACTGCAAGCACACACCACCATGCTTGGCTAATTTTTGTACTTTTTGTAGAGGTGGGATCTCCCTGTGTAGCCCAGGCTGATCACAAACTCTTGGGTTTAAGCAACCTACCCACCTCCGACTCCCAAAGTGCTAAGATTACAGGCCTGAGTCACTGCGCCCAGCTTTAAGATGATTTTAGATTCAGGATTTAAGATCTTAGAACCATAACATTAAAAAATTTCTATTTTATATATTTTATTTAGGTCCAGTACTTCCCTATGTTTTAACTACAGCTTATAAGAAACTGAATACTATAAGCAGAATAATGAAAAAAGTTGTTATATATACTGGTTTACTTATAGAATATTTCTGAACTGTGGAACTACTAACTTAAGGCTTAGTGATTCAAATTAAGAAGTGACAAGAGATTCTGTAAAATTCGTGGGTTTCTTAGGAGGATCTAATAAATAATACTTTCTTTTCTACTTTGGTTTTGAACCAATTAACAAGAGTGGCATATGTGGACCAAAATAACGTTATTACTGATTAAAATATATTTTGAAGATGTGTCTTAGTGGGGCAGGCAAATGAACACATTAAATGAACCACAAAACATGTAGGCTTGTACACTCACTGGAAGTGCCAGTCCAGTGAGGAGGCTGAATAAGTGCCTTCTCCCTCATGTTCCCTAGCTAGGCTAGATCTCAAGAGGAAGATGAGTGAGGCTGAGCCTAACATACAGTATTTTCTTCACAATCAGGTAACTTATTCCATAAGTGGGTATATTAATTAGCCAAGGCTGCTGTAACAAATTACCACAAACTTGGGGGCTTAAAACAATGGAAATTTATTTTCTCACAGTTTTGCAGGCCAGAAGTCTTTTTAAAAGGATCAGCAGGGTTGGTTCCTGTTGGAGGCTCTGAGGGAGTATCAGTTCCATGCTTCTTTCCTAGCTTTTGGGAGCTGTAGTTGTCCTTGGCCTTTTTCAGCTTGTAGATGCATAATTTTAATTTCTGCCTTCATTTTCACATGGTTTTTATACCCTGTCTCTCTCTGTTTCCCTTTCTCTCCTAAGGACACACTCATCATTGGCTATAGGGCCCACTATTTCACAATGTTCTCATCTCTAGATCCTTACCTTAATTATATCTGAAAACAGCCTTGTTCCCAAATGAGGTCACATTTATAGGTTTCAGGTAGACTTGTCTTTTGGTGGGGCCACTATTTAACCCACTAAAAGGGGTGGAGAGGCCAGAAGTTGGATTAATTAAATAAGTAAAGTTGCTGCTTGCTTGGAATTCAGCACTTGGGACAGTTGTTTCTCCCTGTCCTTCATTCCCCAGATCTTTGTTCTCGTAGTCAACCAGATGTCGGAGATCACCAAAATAGTCCCATTCCTGCCCTGTGTTTGCATCATTGACATATCTTCAATTTGCGTTTCTTTGACAGAATCTTTTAAAATGACTTACCCATTTTATGAGCATTAGTAGGTAAAACTAGGTAGTGTAATATATATGTCCATTTAACTGTGCACAAAGAACAGGCAGTTTGTCACAATACACTGAAAACAAGGGAAGGTGTCATGCCAACACCCAGGGATTTAGAACTACCAAAATTCCACAAAGATGCCTAGTTTCCTGTGTTGTATGGATTGAATAAGGGCTACAATTATTGCTCTGGATATCAAATATTGGTAAAGTTGGACTTTTTTTGGCTACTAAACATTAAATAAAAGCAAATGTTTTCCTCCTACATTTGAATGGAAATACAGTGCCTAGGATGCATGAGTCACATTGGAACACACAGGCCTAGATCATCACCAACTTTGTAGCGGGTTTTTTGCAATGATGTAAGTGGCCTAACTCTATGCTCTCCATGTATAGAACACTTGAAATATGGCTAGTATGATTGAACAATTGAATTTTAAATTTCACTTAATTTTAATTAAATGCAAATTTAAATAGCTACATGTGGCTGGAGGATTGTGTTGGACAGCGCAGACTAGATATTTGTCAATGCCTAGGCTGAAAATATTGGGTATCAAAATAAACAGAATTACGACTTTACAATAATTATAACATGCTGTGACAAATGTCCTTATTTTAATGACATTAACAAAAGAAAAAGAAAAAGTTCATCCTGAATTAGCAGCTTATCTATACTTGTTAAGCGTTTTTGTTTTGCTTCAACTTGGAATTTTTTTCTTAAGTGAAAATTAGATGAAATTTTAGATTCTCTTTTCTAATTATATTCTCTAGGCCTAAATTTATTGTAACAAAATTATTCCTTTTTTAGGCAAAATATTGATAAATATGGAGTAGAAATTTTTCAACTTGAGAACATGCTTGCTCAAGAAATTTAGTGTAAATATTTGTCAGTCATTTTACATTTCTCTTTGCTGAAAATATAAATTAATATGAACAGAAAAATTTTACTTAAAAGCCTATTTTTAAGAAAGTCTTTCTCCCCTAAGGTATAATACTATTTAAAGATGTAGAAGTTGTCACTTTAGTTGAATTTATTTTTCAGACATGTAAGCAGATTCTACTGTTATTTCTCAACTTTGCTCTATTTGTTTCATTTTTATATTTATATCTTTGAAATTTGGCTAACACATATAGCATTAGATTTAATATCAAAGTTAAAGTTTTTATTTTAAAAAAGAAAATGTGAAAATATGTTAATTACAACTCATAGTTCTTGAACTTTATGTAGTTTTGGTGATATTGTATTTTTCATGTATACCAGAAGAGGGTACACTTTAAACTTGATGTCTTTGAATAGAAAGCATTCTTTTGTTGTTGTTTTGAGATGGAGTCTAGCTTTGTCACCTCAGGCTGGAGTGCAATGGTTTGATCTCAGCTGACTGCAACCTCCACTTCCCAGATTCAAGAGATTCTCCTGCCTCAGCCTCCCAAGTAGCTGGGATTGCAGGTGCACGCCACCATGCCCAGTTAATTTTTGTATTTTTAGGAGAGACAGAGTTTCACCATGTTGGCCAGACTGAAGTCACAAGCTCCTGACCTCAGCTGATCTGCCTGCCTCAGTCTTTCAGGTGATTCACCTGCCTCAGTCTTTCAAAGTGCTGGGATTACAGGTGTGAGCCACCACACCAAGTCCAGAAAGCATTTTTTTGGACTGCTGCCATAAATTTGATTCCCTTAAGAAAAACTGCAAAGTTCTTTTTTTTTTTTTTCCAAAATATCCCTTAATGTACAAGTAGGGAGAAGTGGGATGTATGTGTATGATTTGGAGTGCATAAGACTAACAACATCAATAAATAAACCTTTCATCCAGAAATATAACTTTGTTTTTCTAGGGTTTTCTTTTCTCATTACCTTCTGAAAATAAATTCAGAATTATTAAAGAAAAATTGTTCTTCAGGAGAACTTTTTTTTTTTTTTTTTCCTGAGACGGAGTTTTACTCTTGTTACCCAGGCTGGAGTGCAGTGGTGCGATCTCGGCTCACCGCAACTTCCACCTCCTGGGTTCAGGGAATTCTCCTGCCTCAGCCTCCTGAGTAGCTGGGATTACAGGCACGCGCCACCATGCCCAGCTAATTTTTTTTGTGTTTTTAGTAGAGATGGGGTTTCACCATGTTGACCAGGATGGTCTCGATCTCTTGACCTCGTGATCCACCTGCCTCGGCCTCCGAAAGTGCTGGAATTACAGGCTTGAGCCACCATGCCCGGCCTTCAGGAGACCTTTTTGAAGTTTTTCATTTCAATATCAAAACAAACAAAAACCAGATAATATATGATTTCAGTTTCGCTCTTAATTGAAGGTATTACAAATCATAAAGCACGACCATTAAGGAAAAGAGAAACACTATAAATGAAAGTACAGCCATGAATAGAGTTTCATGACTAGAAAGTGATTTTTATTCTTTTGTGTTTTGACAGCTTGAAGGTCCATGTGTTTTGCAAATTCAAAAAATTCGCAATGTTGCTGCACCAAAGGATAACGAAGAATCTCAGGCTGCACCAAGGATGCTGCGATTGCAGATGACTGATGGTCATATAAGTTGCACAGCAGTAGAATTTAGTTATATGTCAAAAATAAGGTGATTGGCACTTTATTTTGTCTATTTGTTATAGAGTGTTGAAGGTGCTCTTCAGTGGAATAATTTAAGAATTTAGAAAACGTGGAATGGACCCTTACATTATAACTTTTCAGAGGAAATTAGAGAACTTTGCATTTCTGCTTTATCTGTATAAAAATAGTTAAGAATAATATGGCCTGGGGAGGTGGGTCACGCCTGTAATCCTAGCACTTTGGGAGGCTGAAGTGGGTGGATTACCTTAGGTCAGGAGTTCTAGACCAGCTTGACCAACATGGTGAAACCCTGTCTCTACAAAAATACGAAAATTAGCTTGGCATGATGGCGGGTGCCTGTAATCCCAGCTACTCAGGAGGCTGAGGCGGGAGAATAGCTTGAACCTGGTGGAGGGAGGTTGTGGTGAACTGAGATCATGCTGAGGGAATGTGTTCTACTTCCAGGTCCACAAGGGGGCGTAGTTTTAAGGGCAAGAACTTCCCAGCACCATACCCACTCCCATCTGTCTTCTTCCGGGAAATTTAACAATTTATGTTTAAATTTCACCGGCACAGTAAGAAACTAAGAAACTGTTTTTGTGTATTTAGTAGAGACAGAGTTTCACCATGTTGGCCAGACCGAGGTCACAAGCTCCTGACCTCAGGTAATCCTCCTGCCTCAGTCAATCACCCCAGCGGAAGTTTAAAGGGACTCCTTTCATTGGCCAGAGGAACTTGGGGAGGTGGGAATTTCTCCCATGATAAATTCCCCTGTTCCTTCACCCACACCGGATTTCCAGCTCTCTGAAATCCCCTCCCATAGAGTGGGAGCTCCCTTTCCTCTCTTGGATTTCCCCCTTGGAGTTCCCTTCTGCTCTCTTCGTGGAAACTTTTCTCTCTTCTCCTTTTTTCCCACTTTTCTCTACCTAAATCAAATCACCTTTCTGCAACACTTCTTGGGTTGGGTATTTACTTTACAAGCTTACAGCACACCTGCAGTGGTCCCCTCTTTCATCCTTGAAATAGCGGAGACCAAGAACCTACGACATTCTTGCTGGGGAGCTGTGCCTCACCTGTACCCTAAAAACTCGGTTACAATGCCATTGCACTCTAGCCTGGGTGACAGAGTGGGACTCCAGCTCAAAAAATAAAATAAAATAAAATAATAGAAAAAAAATCATAGTTAAGAATGTAGTTACTTCTTGATTCAGTGTTAATTATAAAAACAAATTTATGGTGTTCTTGAATGGAGGTAATATTTTTAGTTTTGTTTGATATTTTAGGTTACTCAGTTGTTTAGAACAAACAGAATTTTAAAAAACATGGTTTCATCTTCGACAATTCAGTAGCTATTTATAATAGTGTTGTCCATCATACTGTTTAATGTTCTTGCAGTTTTATAGGCTATTGAATTTTCCTAGGAAATGATTGAAGTCAGGGAGGTTTGTGACTGACTTCAGTTATTTGCTAGGAAATGATTGGGAATGATTTTCCAAATCCTTCATTTGGTTATTTTAATAAGAGACTTTTAGGGTCGTGTTTAGTGGAATGGAAGAAAGCAATAAGAAGGAAGGGAAAGTGTCCCCTTTATCTTCAGTGTTTCCATTTGGCCATTCTGAACTCTGTTTTCTGAGGTAGAAACTTCCACAAGACATTTGCATCCCTCCTCCCACCTGCCTTTTTTGGTCTTCTTTGTCATCTTATATGCTTACATTTGCAGCTTGGCTCCTCAGCTTTTTTACTTAATATAAACTCCTATATCATACTTCTCTCTTGAGCAGGCATTTATCAGGTGTTCCAGCCCTTTACCAGTGTTGCAGGAACAAAGGTAAATGGCGTTTAGATTTCAGCCTCTTAGTAGCTCATATGCTAATAAGGTAGCACTTGGGCATGCAAATATTATAAGAAATATATAAACTGAAATGACTAAGAGTCCCGAAAATTACTTCTGCCTGGGGTAACCAGGAGTGAGTTTAAAATATGAGTAGGTGTTTTAAGGCAGGGAGGGAATAGCACGTGCAAAGACACAGTGTTCTGACAACAGAAAGATTGAGAAGTTACATTTGTGTAGGTGATTTAGAACAGTGGGTGTGTGAGAAGAAATGTGTTAGGTTGAGGCCTTGTATGATATCTTCAATGATTTCTCTTCTTTTTTCTTCTTTCGTCTGGTATCTGCATCTGGTAAACGAGGCTCCCTCCTCAGAAGATGTATGTTTGTCTAAAATGTTAATTCCTGTACACTAAGGGAGATTTGTTGACTTTGTGATTTTGTTGTCTTCTTTTTGAAGAGTAGGATTCCTACTTTTGTGTAGAAACAGCTTTTCAAATTATGACAAATTTAGTCACACCCCTTGCAAGGGAGCTCACAGATGACTCAGAAGGAAGACTTGCCATGTAATGGCTCACTCTCTAATTTTATGGCTGTATGTTTCTCTGAGGAGTAAAAACACAAGGTCAGTTTAGCATTGGGCAGTTGTAGTGTTGGGAAGTTGTAGCCTACTCTGCCCAATGCTGTCTACTGTCGTCCCTTGTTGAATTTATTGCAGCTAGCCAACTGAAAAAAATTGTCATATGTTCTTCACTCATCATTGAAGCAGCTTGCCTACTTTTGGTGCCATAAAAATGACAAAATAGTACTTACGTGTAAACAATTTGAAAGATATTTTACCAAATAAGTCTGTAGTTATCTTAGAAGGAAGTTGAAACAACTTTGTAGATCGGATAAACCAGGTGCTGATAAAGATGTGTTGTTACCTTACATGGGCTTTGCATTTTTCTGAGGTGCTTGTTTCTACTCTTCTGTCCTACCTTTTGCTCCATCCCTTGCTGTTTTTTTTTTTTTAAATGGCAATGAAGAGAGATTAAGGGAAACTTGGGATGCCAAGAAAAATATTAACTAAACCAAAACGTGTTTTCTTAATAAGAATTAATTATGGTTCTGAAGGTGATAGTAAAAATTGTATTAAAATTTTAGTCCCTAAGTAAAAAGAACAAAGCTGAAGGTCTCATATTGATTACCTGGTTTCAAACTATACTACAAAGCTGTAGTAACCAAAATAGCTGGTACTGGCATAAAAGCAGACACATAGACCAGTGGAACAGAATAGAGAACCCAGAAATAAATCCATATACTTAGAGCCAACTCATTTTCAACAAAGGTATCAAGAACATACATTGGGAAAAGGGCAGTCTCTTTAATAAATGGTTCTAGGAAAACTAGATAACCATATGTAGAAGAATGAAATATCCATCTTTCACCATATAGAAAAATCAACTTAAATGTGATGGGGCATGGTGGCTCACACCTGTAATCCCAGTACTTTGGGAGGTCAAGGTGGGCAGATCACCTGAGGTCAGGTGTTCAAGACCAGCTGAGCCAACATGGTAAAACATGGTAGTACACACCTGTAGTTCCAGCTACTTGGGAGGCTGAGGCAGGAGAATCACTTGAACCCAGGAGGCAGAGTTTGCAGTGAGCTGAGATCATACTATTGTACTCCAGTCTGGGCAACAAGAGTGAAACTCTGGCTCAAAAAAAAAAAAAAAAAAAAAACGAAAAACAAAAACACACACTTAAATATAAGATGTGAAAGTATAAAATTACTAGAAGAAAACATTGGGGAAATGCTTCAAGACTTTGGTCTGGGCAAATATTTTTTGGATAAGACCTCAAAAACATAGGCAACACAAGTAAAAAGTAGACAATTGGGATTATATCAAACTGAAAAGCTTCTGCACAGCAATGGAAACAATGAACAAAGTGAAGAGACTACCTACAGAATGGGAGAAAATATTTGCAAACTATCCATTTGACAAGGGGTTAGTATCCAGAATATATAAGGAGCTCAAATAATTCAAGAGCCAAGAAAAAATCCAGTTAAAAATTGACAGAAGGCCTGAATAGACATTTCTCTAAAGAAGACATATACACAGCCAACAGTTACGCAAAAAAACTACTTAGCGTCACTAATCAACAGAGAATGCAAATCAAAACTACAGTGAGAGATCATCTCACATGGTTAGAATGCCTGTTATCAAAAAGACAGAAAATAACTGCTATAGTTTGGATATTTGACCTTCCAAACCCTATATTGGAATTTGATCCCCAGTGTTGGAGGTGGGGCCTAGTGGGAAGTATTTAGGTCATGGGGGAGCAGAGCCCTCATGAATGGTTTGGTGCCTTCCTTGCAGTGAGTGAGTTCTTACTCTGTTAGTTCCTGTGAGAGCTGGTTGTTAAAAAGAGCCTGGCACCTCTCTCTTCTCTTTCTTGCTTCTCTTGTCATGTGATCTGCATATACCCCTTTGCCTTCTGTCATGAGCGAAACCCTCACCAGAATTGAATGCTGATGCTATACTGCTTGTACAGCTTGCAGAACTATGAGCCAGATAAACCTTTCTTTATAAATTACCCAGTGTCAGGTATTCCTTTCTAGCAACACAAATAGACTAAGACAATAGCAAATGCTGTTGAGGAAAGGGGAATGCTCAAAGACAAATACTGCATGTTCTCACCCATGTAGGAGCTAAAAACAAAATGATCTCCTGGAGATAGAGAGTAAAATGGCAACTGGGAAGGATAATGGGGAGTGAGTGATAAGAAGGGATTGGTTAATGGGTATAAAAATACAGTTGGAATAAGATTCAGTAGCATAATAGGGTGACTATAGTTAACAATAATTTACTGAATATTTCAAAATGATTAGAAGAGTAGATTCTTAATGTTCTCAGCAAAGAAAAGATAAATGTTTGAGGTGATATCTCAGTTACCCTAATTTGATCATTACACATTGTATATATGTGTCAAAATATCACATATACCCCCAAAATATGTATAATTATGATACCAAAAAATAAAAATTTCGCCCCTATTTCCTTGTGTGGGAGTAGAACTTGTATTTAATCTGGTGAGGCTATCAATTGTTCCAATGAGATTGTAGGTCCAGCTTCAAATAATTCGACTACATAGGTCTTAGGTAAATAATCTAATTCATTAGCAGTTTCTTTAGAGGAAAAGAGTACAGTAGCCTGGTGTCCTTCATGTTTATTTTTATGTATTCCTGTACATTGACTGTAAGAGTTATAAAGTCTGGATTTGCTGATTGTCTGGAATTGGGAACACTTCTTCACTCTTGTAATTGTATTCAGCTGTTACTGATCTTGAAGGCTAATAAATGGTTCTAAGTTTACTACATTTACCACCACAGAGCTGTCTACTTAAGGGTTAGGTTAGGCAGGGCTGTTTATTACCATTCATTTTGTCAGTTGTGATTGATCACTAAAAATGATTAAGCTTGGAGCCCTCGAAATAATTTTAATGGCTTTATTGCAATAGCATTGATATATAAAAATTATATATATGTAGGATGCACAGAATAGTTTTTAATATATAATCTATGTTACTCTGTATGGCCTCTTTGAAGTTTTAAAATCAGACATCCTCTATTTCTTCTTTTTTTTTTTTTTTCTTTTTTTCTTTTTTTGAGATGGAGTTTCGCTCTTGTTACCCAGGCTGGAGTGCAATGGCGCGATCTCGGCTCACCGCAACCTCCGCCTCCTGGCTTCAGGCAATTCTCCTGCCTCAGCCTCCTGAGTAGCTGGGATTACAGGCACGCACCACCATGCCCAGCTAATTTTTTGTATTTTTAGTAGAGACGGGGTTTCACCATGTTGACCAGGATGGTCTCGATCTCATGACCTTGTGATCCACCCGTCTTGGCCTCCCAAAGTGCTGGGATTACAGGCTTGAGCCACCGTGCCCGGCCTATTTCTTCTTGTTAGTAATTATTTTATCAATTATCTTTCTCCAAAAAAGGCTGGTGCTATTAGCCCTCTCACTGATTTGCTCTTGCATATATTAGCATGTGGTAAATTTTATGAGGTTTTAAGATGTGAACAGTGCAAAGCCATTTCAGAATAGTTTTCTAATTTATCCTAAGTATTTTAGGACAGACTTTACCTTAGAAGTACTATTTGCAGTACTTTACTTCTTGCTGTATGTGAGGAGAGAGAGGGTGGGGCTTGGTATATATGCTTTTATTTTAGAACAAACCCAAGTGACAAAACGGATTTCTTTCCTTGTTTTCGTTTGCCAAAGAGTTGGTAAGAGGGTAAACATTTTGTCTCTGGTTTTCTATAAGAGGAGTCATGGTCCAATCGACTGCTGTCACCTTCACCATTCAAGTTTTTAAATCCTGAGTCAAGCCAAAAAAAAAAAAAAAGCCAACCAAAACAAACAAAAAAAATAAAGCCATGCCAATCTCATCTTGTTTTCTGTGCAAGTCCATTGGTTGGACGGAGCATCCCACAAAGTTCTACAATGTGGCTGAGGACTTTGATTGTACATTGTTCTTTTTTTTAAGTTATTTCAAATATTGTGAAATGCATTGTTACAGGAAGTTCCTTGCCCTCCCAAAAGCCACCCCACTTCTCTCTCTCTAAGGACAATGGTCCAGTTCTCTCCCGAGTACACACAGGGGAGATAATAGCATTGCTTTTGTGTGAATTATGTAATGCAAAATTTTTTAAATCTTTCCCTTAATACTTTTTATTTTGTTTTATTTTTGAAAGATGTTAGCCTCTGTGGCTACCCCTTTTTTGTCCCCCAAATTGAGATATATAAAGGCTTTTGGTCTCCCTAGGAGTGGGTGGAGGCAGCCAAGGCTTACCTGTACACTGACTTGAGACCAGTTGAATAAAAGTGCACACCTTAAAAAAAAAAAAAAAAAAAAAAAGAGGCATGGTGTAATGTTTGCCCCAAATCTGATACTATTAGCCTATTGTAGAAATGTTCTTTTAAAGTTAGTGTATAAATAGCTTAAAATTAGCATATAAAAATCCTTTTAAAGTTTGTGCATAAATAACTTTAATTTGATCTTTGACTAGACAGTGAACAAAAAAAGCATTATTTTGTATCAATTGCTATGGCTCATACAGATGTTAAATTTGTAGGTTTATTACTAGTCAGCTAGCTTCTGTGTTGAAATTCAATCTTGTAACAAAAAACAGTATTTTTTGCTGTGCATAGCTAACGTTCAGAGAAAAAAATGTCAAATCTTATATTTGTATACCATAGCATAGTTGAAAAAGTATTTTATGTTTTATGTTTTTATTCTGTTTATCATGTCTTTATCCCAACTTTGTGACATGTTATTGTCCACCTTTTTTTTTTTCTTTTGCAAGTTAAGATTAAAGCTCATTTCTCTGTCATTGAGATAGAAAATGACAATCTTGGCCAGGTGCAGTGGCTCACGCCTGTAATTCCAGCACTTTGGAGGCTGAGGCAGGTGGATCACTTGAGGTTAGGAGTTGGAGACCAGCCTGGCCAACATAGTGGAGCCCTGTCTTTCCTAAAAATAGTAAAATTGGCTTGTCATGGTGATGCATGCCTGTAATCCCAGCTACTTAGGAGGCTGAGACAAGAGAATCACTTGAACCCGGGAGACAGAGGTTTCATGCCACTGCCCATTGCACTTCGAGCTTGGGTGACAGAGTAAGGCTCTGTCTAAACAAACAAACAAACAAACAAACAAAATCCCAATTTTGTTCCTGGTCCTCTAACTTCCTCTCTGGGGATAGTCAGCCTCCTGAAAAATTAATTTCAGTTTTAGTGCATTTTGAAGAACCTGATCAGGTCATAATACGAAACTGAATTCTAGGTCTGGGAAAGAGCTTCAACGTGTTTTATTTTTATTTGTTTGGGTTTTTTTCTTTTTAATTTTTATTTTTAATTCTGGGGTGCATGTGTAGGATATGCAGATTTGTTACATAGGTAATGTGTGCCATAGTGGTTTGCTGCACCTATCAACCTATCACCTAGCTATTAAGTCCAGCATGCATTAGCTATTTTTCCTGATGCTCTCCGTCCCCCACCCCACCCCCAAAAAGGCCCCAGTGCGTGTTGTTCCCCTCCCTGTGTTCGTGTGTTCTGAGCTTCAGTGTGTTTTTAACTCTTTTCTCTTTGTTTTAGCCTGAACACACCACCTGGAACTAAAGTTAAGCTGTCAGGCATTGTTGACATAAAAAATGGATTCCTGCTTTTGAATGACTCTAACACCACAGTTCTTGGTGGTGAAGTGGAACACCTTATTGAGAAATGGGAGTTACAGAGAGTAAGTGTAAATCATGGCTTGAACTTTTGAAACATTACACTTTTTTATTGCATTAAAGAGCCCTTTCAGTAATGAAGGGTAAAATTAGTTCGTTTTGTCAGAGTTGAATAGAATGGAATATGATTATCTATAGAGAAGCTATCTTTGTCTAAGCATATTGTTTTTCTAACGTAGATAGAATTTTTCAATATTTGTTACATTTTGTTACTTATATTTAAACATTCTTTTCTGATAAGTTTCAAAACTGTCAAGATACCAGTTATAATCTATGTATAATTTATCTGTATATAATTCTGCAAAAAACGAAAGTGTGTATATATATATGAATATATGTATACCTGTCTTATCTACATACCCACATACGTGCAAGTAAAAGCAAGTTAGAATTTCACTATAATGAAGGAGTTCTTGTTGTGCTTGACTTCCTAGTCTCATTTGTTGATATTTTCCCCCATTTATAGTAACAGTATCTTCATCCTTCCAGTCATGTAGGTTATCTTGTAATTAATTGTTCCTCTGCTTTACTTCCAGCAACCATTTCTGTTGATCCATTGCAGTCAAATCTCATCTCACTTCCTTGCTCTCCAGTTCTTATTATTACTATAGTTTTGGTCTTTAGTATCTCTTGCTGGGACTGCTATAGTAGCCTTTTGACTGTCTATCCACATATCCTTTCTCTATCTTCTGATTTATTTTATGTACTTCCACCAGATTTTCTTCTGTCGGCATAGTTGAGACCATGTCACACCCTGCTTTTATTTCAAATGCCTTAATTTGGGATTGAATACCATTTGTAATCTAGCTCTAGTTCCAGTTTTCATTTCATTTTCAACTTTCTAAATTCTTCCACATAGATCTTGTTGTAACCAAATGGAATTGATTCATCTTTCTCTTATTCTCTATGATTTTCTCAGTTTTACATTTTTAATAAAATGTTTTCCCACTTTTATACCATTCATCTTGTTTTCTCTCTCCTGATCCCTGCATAGCCAAATCATCCCTGTGCTTTTAGACCCAGATCAAATGATTGCTTCTACTCAAGGTGAAGTACTTATTCCTTTATTGAATTTACACACACACACACACACACACACACACACACACACACACACACACACAGTTTAATAGTAGTTTGACAGTTGCCCTTGAAATGTTTAATTATGTGTCTCTGCACTTGGCTTCCTGCAAGCCACGTTAGTATTTCTTGTTAGGGAGTGATAAAAATTTGCATTTAAAATCGTTTAAAAACATTTTAATATGATTGTAGTTCTTTTTGGTTTTATAGTTTTTGATTTGGTAGCCACAGCAATGTAGGAAACAGGGAAAGTGCAGTTACTTGAGCAGCTGGCAGTGATATACATAGAAATTACAAACCATTTGGAAATGAAGGAAAACTAAACATTCAGTAAACTATATGCAGTCATTGTAACCATAGCAAGTTGATACCAGATATACAAAATACCGTATTTCTATATGTTTTAGTGCCCCCAAACTATAGTTAATTTTTTTTTATTGTGGTAAAGTATACATAACATAAAATTTGATGTTTTAACAATTTTTTAAGTGTAAAGCTCGGAGGCTTTAAGAACATTTGCATTGTTGCACAGCTGTTACTACCATCCACCTCCCTAACTTTTTTGTCTTCCCAGATCTTAACTCTGTGTCCATTAAATAGTAACTCTGCATTCCTTCTTCCTCTCAGTCTTGGGCAACCACCTTTCTACTTTGTGTCTCTATGAATTTGACTAAATAAATTGTATATGTGGAATTCTATAATATGTATCTTTTTTGTGCCTGGCTTATTTCATTTCACATAACATTTTTAGTGTTCATCTGTGTTGCAGCACGTGTCAGAATTTCCTACCTTTTAAGGTTGGATAGTATTCTATTGTATATATACACCATCTTTTGTTCATTTATCCATCAGTGGACATTAGGGTTGTTTTCACTTTTTAACTCTTGTGAATAATGCTGTTATGAACATGGGTGCACAAATACCTCTTTGAGACCTAGTATTGATTTGCCTAATGCTTTCAGTAGGATATTGAAGTCTCTTACTATTATTGTGTTTGTCTAAATCTTTACATAGGTCAAGAAGAACTTATTTGATGAATCTGGGTGCTTGAATGTTGGGCATGTATATATTTAGGAGAGTTAAGTCTTCTTGTTGAGTTGAATTCTTTATTACTATGTCATGCCTTTCCTTGTCCTTCTTAACTTGTTGGTTTAAAGTCTGTTTTAATTGACAGAAGAATAGCGACCCCTGCTCTTTTTTGTTTTATGTTTGCCTGAAAGATGTTTCTCCATCCCTTTACTTTGAGCCTCTGGGTGTTGTTATTTGTGGGATGGCAACAACACCCAGAGGCTCAAAGTAAAGGGATGGAGAAACCTCAAAGACAGCAAACAGTTGTCTTGCTTCTTTATCCAATTGCCACTCTATTCCTTATAAGTCTGTCATTTAACCCATTTACATTCAGGGTCAATATTGATATGTTAGGGTTTGATTTTGTCGTCATATTTTTAGTTGGTTGTTATGTAGACTTGATTGCATCGTTAGTTTATAGTGACAATGAAATATGTGTTTAAGTGTGCTTTGTGATAACAGGTATCATTTCTTCATTTCCATGTTTAGCACTTCATTTAGGAGCTCTTGTAAGCAGGTCTAGTGGTAATAAATCCCCTTAGTATTTTGCATGTCTGAAAAGGACTTCATTTTTCCCTTCTTATGACCTTTAGTTTTATAGGATATGAAATTCTTGGTTGGAATTTCTTTTCTTTAAGGATATTGAAAATAGGCCCTACTGTCTTCTGGCATGTAAGGTTTAAGCTGAAAGGTGTGCTGTTAGCTGGATGGGATTCTTTTTGTAAATGCCCTTTTCTCTAGCTACCTTTATGATTTTTTTCTTTTGCATTGACCTTGGAGAATCTGATGACTGTGTGTCTTTGGGATAGTCATCTTGCATAATATCTCACAGAGGTTCTTTGAATTTCTTCAGTTTTCATGTTGACCTGTCTAGTGAGATTTGGAAAAGTTCTGTGGACTGTAGAAAAAGAGAGAACAAGTTGCTTGTTTTCTTTCTGGAATGTGAAAGAGTTGTAGATTTGGTCTCTTTATATAACCCCATATTTCTTAGAGGTTTTGTTCATTTTCTAAATTACTTTTTACCTCAGGTTGGGGGTGCTGACACTGGGGAATGTCGTGGGTGTTTGGTGTGCAAGTGGGAGTGCTCTAGTGAGGAGAGCCCCACAGGTGGTGGTATTCTAGCCAGGATGATGGGGAGTGCTGCAAGTGAGAGGGCTACATGCAGGAAATGCTCCTATGGTGGCAGCTGGGGCACTTTGGGTGGAAAGTGCTCCAGCAAGGGGCACTGCAGGCACAGGGCCGTGTGGGAGGGGGATGCTTCAGCTAGGGGCTCTCTGGTGGTGTCAGCAGGAACACCACAGGTAGGAAGCACTCTGGCATTGGTAGTTGGCTTGCCTTGGGTGGGCAGCTTTGGCAAGGGGCACCACAGGAGGGGGGCATTCTGATGGGGGACAGGGACTCAGCAGGCGGGAAGTTTTCTGAAGGAGTGGCAGTGAGGTCACAGGCAAACAATTCTGGCAGGAGGATGTCAGCAAAAGTGCTCTGGTGGGATAGTGGTGGCTACCCTGCTTCCAGGCATGACCAGGTAGGGACTCTTGGAGGAGTGTTTTCTTTATTATTGATTTCAACAATTTGATTGTTTAATTATGACGTACCTAACATGGTTGATGTATGTTTTATCCTGTTTGGTATTCACTGAACTTTTTGGATCTATGAGTTTACTATTTTCATCATATTTAGAAAATGTGATTTGGCCAGTATATTTTTTCTTCCTTCTTTCTACTCTTTTTTTTTTTTTTTTTAATATGCCTTCAATTATACATACATTAGACTGCTGATAATTTTCCCATAAGTCTCTGAAGATCTATTCATTTTTTTCCCTTGGCTTTTTCCTTTGGTCTCATTTTGTTAGATTTTATTACTATATCTTTAAATTCTTTATTACTGATCTTTTCTTCTGTTTTATCTAATTTACTCTTAAGCCCATCCAATAAGATTTTCATTGTTGATGGTTTTTTCTTTTATGGAAGTTCCATTTGGTTCTTTTTTTTTTTTTTTTTTTTGTATTTTTCTTTTCTAGTTGAATTTATTTTTTCTTTTAAATACTTCAATATAGTTATAATAGTTGTTTAACAACCTATTTGCTAGTTTCCCATCTTTGTCATCTACGGCCCTGTTTCTGTTGACTAAATTTTCAGATGGTTATGGTCACATTTTTCTTTCTTGACATGCCTTGTAGTTTCTGCTTAGATGCTGGACATTGTGATGTTGGTAGTTGTTGAGAGCCTGGATTTTGCTATTTTCCTTTAATGAGTATAGGACTTAGCTTTGGTCAATAGTTAATTTACTTTTGATCAGTTTGGCCCCTTCAAGACATGTATTGAAGCTTTGAAAGGAATGTCTACAGTAGCCTTTGTTCCAAATATTTTTTAGCCCCCTGGATTTCTATTCCTTGCCTTGAGTGAAGGTGCAAAGAATTTTTAGTCTGCATAGTCCAGTCTGGCTGAATTGTCTGTATACCCTTTATGAGTTCTGGTACTTGTTTGGCTTAACATCTCTTAGTTGTTTTTGGCTCAGCCTGTTCTTAGCAGTGACTCAAGGGAACAATGGTTAAAGTTTCTGGAGCTTCCTTTCTATGCAGGTTCTTCTTTCTGAAACAGCCCCACAACTTCCAGTTGCATCAGCCTGCTTGAACTCTGAGACCGATATTCTCAACTCAGCTCTCTATGATCTCTGTCTGCATCATGGCTCCAAGCAGAAAGCCCAAGCTCACCTTTTTTTTTCTGTTTTTCTCAGGGATAATAGTCTTCCATTATCTGTTATCCTGTGCCTTAAAAACAAGAAATGTTGTTTCTTACACATTGTCAAGATTGTTAGTTGTTTATAAAGAGAGATTAAGGATTGCTCATGTACCTTTATCAGGTCCTGTAATACATTTTTAATTATTTAATGTTATTGAGATATGGTATTATTTGCAATTTGTGAACTTTTAAAGGAAATGATAGTATAGATTGAAATGATTTATAACTGTTTGAATAGTCTGTTTAATATTTAAATTAAGGAAAGAGTCTCTTGATAATTTTATGCATTTGTGGTTTTAAAAAATTAAGTTAATATCTTAAAGATAGGTTTTAAAGAAATGTAGCATTTATATACAGTTTAAATTATTATTTGCTCAGTAAACTGAATGTTGCAGTTGTCATTAGTCTTAATTATTTTTATAAAGTGTTTACGTGATTCAGAACTCTGGAATAGACTTGAAAGTGCACATGATGGTTTTTTTTTTCCCAACGTTGTCACGTCGTATTTTACATCATATTTAAATCATAATGATTTCTGTAATAACTAAAACGCACAAAAAGTTTAAAGTTGAAATGTACTAAATAATAACTAGTAAGACATCTATGTATATATTAATACCTAAAAACCAAAATAAGTCAGAGAAATACATAACTGAAGAGAGTCCTGAAGACTCCTTATGGGATTTTTGAAAGACTTTATCATGTGAGAAATTGCTTTTGCTAGGAGAAGATTTTCTTTCCATTTTCATAATACATTGTTATCTCTCTATTTTTATGAGATTCAAGAAAAAACTCAAGTTAGTTGGATCTGGAAGCTTATTTTTATTAATTAACAATTATTGGTTGAATACTTTTTCAAAATGCAAATTATTTTGAAAAACATAAAACATTAAGGAAATTTCAGTATAATTGAAGAACCTCCATATTATATACTGTAACAATCTGTTCTGTTTAAGTAATTAGAAATCACCTTTATGTTGTTAACTAATAAATTTTGTGTCTAAAAATTTTATTTTTAAAGATAATTTCTAGGTAATATTGTCTCTTACAGCTTTATGCTTTGACATGGAATTCTTGTTACCAAAGTTTGTTATTTTTGAATTTGCTTCTTGTTTAAGAGGACTGTTTTCTTCTTAGGGGAATGGTCTGATAAATATTTCTGAAAGTTATGTGTGAATATGTGTTTTAGTAAGGGGAGGTGAGGAGAGAGTCTTTGCCTGGTTATTGAAGTTAAGAATAATATATTTTGTGTGGTTTGAAATACTTTATGGAAGGTCTTTTTCTTCCTATTTCTTATAAGAATCTACTCAATAGATAGATTCCTATTACATTATAAATGTTGGGAATATAGTTTTAATGTATAATAGGTCTTTTGTAACTGGACTTTTTCCACAGAGCTTATCAAAACACAATAGAAGCAATATTGGAACTGAAGGTGGACCACCTCCTTTTGTGCCTTTTGGACAGGTAATGACTTTTATATTGGGAGTTGAATTTAAATTAGGAAAAGGTATTTTTCATTAGTATTCAAACTGTGTTTCATGATGTGCTGAACTATTTATTAAGAGATTATGAAGTTATTTGGAAATCTGAAGTTCAAGGAATTTAATAATTTTTTGGGTTTTTGGCTTCACGGTAATTATTTTGTTGATGTTTGCAAGAGCTGTTAATTCAAAGATTGAAGCAATTAAGAGTCATATCTGAAAAGTAACTTATAACCAATTAAAATAGGATGGAGGAAGAATTTTTTTTAGAGAAGTTCAAAAATAAGAAAACAGAAATATGTCATAATTTCTCATTTGTTCATTAAAAACATAAGATGGAGGAGAGAAATGAAGCCACACAGGGTGATCAGATGAAATGCTACTTTGAGGCAGCTCCCCTTCTCACCAGTATCTTGTGATTTCAGTTGTCTTCAGCATCAAATTGATTCTCAATAATATTTTCCAACATGTTCTTGCTTTATCCCTGACAATTCTAAGAATAATTCTGTGGCCACTTGCTCTTCTGATGATGCCATCAAAATTTAGCTATTGGTAATCTGCCTTGCATTTGCTCTTTAATTTTTTTCAAAAGTGCTGGGCTGGCTAAGAGTAGCAGTGAGTTGTGGAGATAACAGGTAGGCAACAGATCTGCACATCCATAACAAGGTTATGTGTATGTGTGTCTGTGTGTTTAAATTTTGGTATTTAGTACGATCTTCACTTTACTACTCTCACTTAAGTAAATCATTTTTGCATCAAACTTATTTTGAAGCATTTTTAAAATAATGGTTTTTCTTTTACTGAGTTTGGAAGAAGAGATAGCCAAGATAAAAGAAAGTATGAAGTTCTATGGTGTGATCCGTGTTGATGATTGATATTCTCCCAGTGTAATAAAAATCCCCGTAAGGAAAGCAGTGCAAACATTCTGATAACTTATATTTGAAAATAATAATGATATATTTGTAAAAATTTACTCTTAAACATTTTGGTGATAATATTTCTCTTCCAGAAAGACTTATGATCTAATTATTCTTAAGACTTTTAAGTGTTTTACAGCTTTTGGGGGGTTAGGGCATATAATAAAAGGTATAATTTTAATAATATTATTTGCTTATAAAGTTCATTCTGAAAAAATTCTTATGCAGCATCTTGCAGCCTTGTACATGGATTGAAGATAGGTAATGCTAAGTGTGTGTTGGTGTCAATGTGATATATTTTTATTACTGAAATTTTTCTGTATTTGTATAACACATTTCTTTGAGATCTTCCTCCTTCATTTTTTTTAAATGAGTTGAGAAAAAGTTCATTTTATAGAATTTTTACTGGTAAAATTGGAATGGAGATCAGAACTGAGGGCTTATTTTTAGGCAGTGGTGCCTTTTTTTCTTTACTTTATGAGAAAAAATATAAAAACCTTGAAGCCTGATTTTGGACATGAGTATGTTTTTAGAGTGTGGTTTATCAAGTGTAGAGACATCTTTTTATATTGTGATATAATTGTAATAACCAATCCACATATGGATATTGTGGTATAATATGAAAATTAAGCTCTTCATGACAAAACCAAATTTAGATCTTACTGTGCATTAGTCAAGATTGTTTGAAATATAAAATTATTCAAGTAATTATCCTAAAATGAAAGGTTAGCTTTCTTGATCGAGTATATGTTTTAAATATATGCCTGGCTTAGATGGCCAAAAATTTATATAGCTTTTAATTGTATTTGCTAGTTATGTTTGTTTAAAAGTTATTTTTCCAATTTTTTACTTTTAAATATATGGGATAGAATTTTATTTGTGTAGGCTTTTAGCTATTGTAAAAGATACAAGATACTTTCTTTTGAAGAAGTTTTACTTTCTGATGAAAACTTGAATCTCTTTTGGAACTACTAAGTTGACTTATTCTTACTTGTTTTACCAGAAGTGTGTATCTCATGTCCAAGTGGATAGCAGAGAACTTGATCGAAGAAAAACATTGCAAGTTACAATGCCTGTCAAACCTACAAATGATAATGATGAATTTGAAAAGCAAAGGACTGCTGCTATTGCTGAAGTTGCAAAGAGCAAAGAAGTAAGAAATCAAATCATTACACATTTCTTATTTCTTAACGTTATGTTCTGTTTGGATTACCCGTGATCGTTACTGTCTTTTCACATAAGCTACCTAATTCAACAAATGCTTAACCTTGTTCTTCTTATATATTCCATAAGTAGAAATGTTCTGTCTCTTTATGGAATCTTACATGTTTTACTCATGTGTTCTTTTTCCAGATCTCTAAGGTAGTTCCAGCAAGTTACTCTTGCTGGCAAATTACCCTTCTCTTCTCCTTCTTTCCGTTTTTAAAGAATGTAGCAACTGGGCACACTTTTTATTGTGGCAGAGAGTTTCCTATTAGTAGTTGGGCTAGTTGCCACTTTTTGGGGGATAATTTCCCCTTATTCATAGCAATTTATGAGAAATAGCAACTTCTGAGAGATGAATAAAAATGTTGCTGAGAATTTTTCTATTGTATGACTGAATGGTATTCATCATGTGTAGACAGTCAGCTCTCCATATATGTGGATTCAACTTCTTAACTGTGGATTCAACCAGTAGTGGATCAAAAATACTTGTTGGGGGGAGATGGATGGTTGCATCTGTACTGAATGTATACACATTTGTCTTGTGATTATTCCCTAATGAGATAGTATAACAACTATTTGTATAACATTTACACTATATAAGGTATTATAATAATCCAGAGATGATTTAAAGTATACAAGAATGGCTGGGCATGGAGGCTAAGGTCTGTAATCCTGGCACTTTGGGTGGCTGAGGCAAGTGGATCACCTGCTGTGATGAGTTCGAGACAAACCTGACCAACATGGCAAAACCCCAACTCTGCTAAAACTACAAAATTTACATGCATTGTGGTGCATGCCTGTTATGTGAGCTATTCAGGAGGTGGAGGCAGGAGAATCACATGAACCCAGAAGGTGGAGGTTTCAGTGAGCTGAGATTGCACCATTGCATTCCAGCCTGGGCAACAATAGCAAGACACAGCCTCAAAAAATAAAAATTAAAAAATAAGTATACAGGAGGATGTGCATAGGTTATATGCAAATACTATATCATTTTATGTAAGGGACTTGAACAACCATGTTTTTTGTTATCTGCTGGGAATGTGAGAGTGATGGGAGTCCTAGAGCCAATCCCTGTATTATTTTCTTATCCCTTCATCTGATAGACAGTCAGGTTGATTTCATAACTTGGCTATTGTGAATAGGCTACAGTAAATATGGGAGATAATCTCTTTGACCTACTAATTTCCTTTCCTTTGGATAAAGACCCAGTAATAGAATGCTCAGTCATATGCTAGTTCTATTTTTAGTTTTGTTGAGCAACCTCCATATTGTTTTCTGTAATGGCCGCACTAATTTACATTCCCACCAACAGTGCATAGAGTTCACCTCTCTTTACATCCTCACTGGTATTTGTTATTTTTTATTTTTGTCTTTTTGATTATAGCAGTTTTAACTGGGTTGAGATAATATCTCATTTTGTTTTGATTTGCATCTCCTTGATGATGTTATGCGACACCCAGGTTTCAGTCTAGATACTGCTGCACACTGCACAGAAAGCCAATCACTGAAATATGAGTGTTGCTAGGAAAGAAGGCTTTAATTGAGTGCTGCAGCTGAAAAGATGGGTGGTCAGTCTCAAATTCTTCACCCTGATGGGCTAAAATTAGGAATTTATATATCAGGGAAGAAATCTAACTATATGCAGGAAAACAGGAACTAAGGAGGGGTAAGGAAGTAATTATGATGAATAAGCGATGTGGCATTTCATTGTTTGGATGTGGTGATCTGGTGAATTTTAGTTCTTTGATACTTTTTTGAAAGGCAAGAGTGTCATTTCCTGAAGAAGGGACTCAGAAAAAGATAAATCAAGTGGAAGCTTCAAACTTTAAGAATCAGTAGGGTCAGTTTCTGTTTATTCAAAAAAATGTGTCTATGGGACTACTGGGCTGATTTCAATGATAAATGATGTTGAACATATGTTCATATACCTGTTGGCCGTTTGTATGGTCTTCTTTGGAAAAATGATATTCAAATCATTTATCCATTTTTAAATTGGATTTTATTTTTTTTTTGAATTGTCATGTTCCTTATATATTCTAGATATTGACCCCTTGTCAGATGGATAGTTTGCCATTATTTTCTTTCATGCTGTAGGTTGTTTCTTCACTCTGTTGATTGTATTCTTGGCTGTGCAGAAGCTTTTTAATTTGATACAATCTCATTTGTCTATTTTTATTTGCATGCCTGTGCTTTTGAGGTCTTATCCAAAAAACTTTGCCCAGACCAACATCCTGAAGTAACAAACCCCTCCCTCTTACGTTATTGATAGCCAAAGGCTCTCTTTTCATTATTTAGAATTTTTCTGCTTATTTGTAATAGGTGTTTTTCTAGTTACTTACTGATTTCTCTTATACTGTGATAAGAAATTTTAGGTCATAAATTAGTTTCTACGTAGACATTTCTTAACCAGTGAGATTGAAATTTTGTTTCCTTTATTCAGAATCTGCAATGAATCTTAGCTTACAATTGCTTTCCAATTTGATTTTGAAGTAAGGATTAGTCTTCTTGAATTTTGGTTGTTCTTCCCACAGTGTCTTTCTGTTGTCAGTCTAATGAGGGGCCAGACACACAAGCTCTGGAATCACAGCCTGAAAGCATATCTTGCTAACACCTTTGGATAGTTACTCAGCTTTTTATATTCCCCCCCACTTTTCTTTTTTAATTTGTAAAACTCGGAGATAATAATGTTACCTACTTCATATGTGAGAATAAAACATTTAGAACTAATGTAAGTACTCCCTGACACAGATCATAACACTTGCTCAGAGCTCTCAGTAAGCATGACTATTGCTATTCTTTACTTGGTCCTCTATCCAAGGCATACTTTTAAAAATCCAGTTTTACCATTTCTTAAATTAATACATTTTACATAACTTATATGAAATATACTTATTGTTTCAGTAAGAGATAAAATTATGGAGATTCAGAAGATACTGAAAATACGTATTTTTAAAATGATTACAGAAAGATGTTCTTTTGATTTACGTTTATCTCAAATGAACTTTTCTACCTAGGATTTTGTTGGATGCGGTTATAGCTGTCTATTTATTACAGTATAGTTAATCTTTTGTAAGGTGCTTCTTTTTGTTGTCACAATTGATATTATGTTTTCCCATAAATATTTGATAATTAAAGCATCTTTTTTTTTTATAGCAGACATCAGAACATCTCAATTTATATATGAGAGAGTTGATGGAGGCTCAAAACTAACAAACTTGGAACTTGCCCAAGGTTATCCAGTGATAATTGTAGAACTCAGTGGATATGTAACATAGAAGATCTGAATCATAAGTAATGTAAACATACTAAATAAGCAGATTGCAATTTTAAATATAATAGTTTGTTTAGGCCTCAAGATAGTGAGAGCTCAGTCAAAACTTGAAGGAGGTAAGAGAATTAGCTACTTGGTTATCTGAGTAAGAGTATTCCAGTCAGAAGGAAAAGCCACGGCAAAGGCTCTAAAGCAGGAGCACAGAGGAACAGCAGAGTGGCCAATGGAAGCAGAGAGAACAAAGGGACAAGCAGTAGAAGATAAAGTCAAGAGAGATACTAGAGGTTAACTTATGTAGGGCCCTGTAAACTATTGTAAAGACATTGTACTTCCTTCAAGGAGAAACAGGAGCCTTTGTATGTTTTGAGCATAGCAATTAAAATCAGCTGACCTATATTCTAAAAGGGTAATTCTAGGCCCGCGTGGTGGCTCACACCTGTAATCCCAGCACTTTGGGAGGCCGATGCAGGTGGATCACGAGGTCAGGAGTTCAAGACCAGCCTGGTCAACATAAGTGAAACCCCGTCTCTACTAAAAATACAAAAAAATTAGCCTGGCATGGTGGCGCATTCCTATAGTACCATCTACTGGGGAGTCTGAGGCAGGAGGATCACTTGAACCCAGGAGGTGGAGTTTGTAGTGAGCTGAGATTGCACCACTGTACTCTAGCTTGGGCAACAGAGTGAGATTTGGTATCAAAAAAAAAAAAGGTTAATTCTAGCTGTTGTGTTCAGACTTGGTTGTAGAGAAGGAAAATTGGAAACCAACAAGTAGAGAATTGCTGAAGTAATCCAGGATTTTAAAAAATGGTTATGGCTTGGACAAATATAGCAGCTGTGAAGGTAGTGCAGGGTGGTCAGATTCTGGAATTTTAAAGGAGCATTAGGGTTACTGAGATTCAATATAGGGTACAAGAGAAGATGTGGTATCAGGAATGAATCTGGCCAGGCGTGGTGGCTCACACCTGTAATCCCAGCACTTTGGGAGGCTGAGGCAGGCAGATCACCTGAGGTCAGGAGTTTGAGACCAGCCTGACAAACATGGAGAAACCCCACCTCTACTAAAAATACAAAATTAGCTGGGTGTGGTGATGCATGCCTGTAATCTCAGCTACTCAGAAGGCTGAAGCAGAAGTATTGCTTGAACCCAGGAGGCAGAGGTTGCAGTGAGCCAACACTGTGCCATTGCAATCTAGCCAGGGCAATAAGAGTGAAACTCCATCTCAAAAACAACAACAACAACAACAACAACAAACCCAAAAAAACAAAAAAAAACCCTAATGGTTTTACCCAGAGAAATTGGCAGGTTAGAGTTTCTTGCCTTGAAATGAATCCTGGAGTGGAGATCCGGTGCTCCATTCTGCACATGTGAATATTGAGGTACTTACCAGACATGCAAATAGTAATCATGTTTAATAGACAATAAGACTAAAGGATGAGCTTTAAAATAGACACATACATTTGAGAGTTGTAGACATCTGGATGGCATTGAAAATTATGAGACCAAATGAGATCACCAAAGGAAAGAGCATTGATAGAGAACAGAAAAGGCTAAGTAATGAACCCTGTAACACTTCAACTTGAACTTAGAGCCTAGATGGCAGAAGTGGAACCAGCCAAGGTGTGACCAGTAACAGGATAAAAACAAGACAATGGCCAGGCGTGGTGGCTCAAGCCTGTAATCCCAGCACTTTGGGAGGCTGAGGCGGGTGGATCATGAGGTCAAGAGATCGAGACCATCCTGGTCAACATGGTGAAACCCCGTCTCTACTAAAAATAGAAAAAATTAGCTGGGCATGGTGGCGCGTGCCTGTAATCCCAGCTACTCAGGAAGCTGAGGCAGGAGAATTGCCTGAACCCAGGAGGTGGAGGTTGCAGTGAGCTGAGATCGTGCCATTACACTCCAGCCTGAGTAACAAGAGCGAAACTCCGTCTCAAAAACAAAACAAAACAAAACAACAAAAAAATTAAAACAAGACAATGCAGAAAATGTATTATGGAGAAGGGAGTGTTAAACTTATCAAAGGCAATTTAAAAGTTACATAACGTAAGGACTTAGAATTGCTATAGAATTGAGGAGGTTGTTTATTCCATTCTCATTCTTAACATTCATAAGGTTGGTGGTACAATAAATCATATGGGGTTAAGATAAAGTGTAACCATGCATGTACCAGTGTGTGGGTTGATGTGGTCAAAATCTATGTGAGTTCTTTACTGATTATTTCAGTTTTTGTTTTTTAGTAAGGAAGTAAGCATGGTTAACACTGATGTGAGAGAAGGTGTTAGAGTTTGAGAAGGGAGAACATGTAAAATAGGGTTTTAGACGATTAGGAATATGAATGGCCTAGGGAAACATGATAAGATTGCTAGACAGCATTAAGGCCCACTTGAGTTTCATAGTCATGATTATCATGAATGCCTAATTCACATAATATGAACAAAAAGGGGTGGCTCATAAAGGACAGGTAGTAATAATGTTTGGGTAATATTTAGGTTGTGATGGTTCTAGATATTTACATTAATGAGTAGTAAGTACTTCAGAGCAGTGAAAAGTAACTCTGAAAATGCTACTTATCCTATTCCTTAATCCATAAAATGGAAAGAAAATTATAAGTAAATGCACCCAGAAGATGGGGCTGTTTCACTGGCACCAAAAGAAAAAGCACTTTCGGAATTACGGAATGTAAAATTTGGAAATATATTTAATTTGGAGCCGCTCAGGTAACAGAGTTTTCAGGTAATTTTGTTCTAGTATATTAACCAAAATAGTAATTACCATCTGTTATTGAGTGTTTACCATGTGCCAGCTACTGAGATAATAACTTAATATCGATGTTGTCATTTAATCCTCCCAATATCCCAGTGAGGTAGGTTTTCTAATCCCCGTTTTAAAGATGAAAAGCCTGAGGCTCCATGGAAGGTAGAAGTTAAGTGACCTGCCTGAATGCTAAAGATAGTGACTGGGCCAAGATTAGTCCCAGCCTTGTCTAGTTCCATAGCCTATGTGCCTACCTGTGCTGCCTTGTTTTCTAGTCTAATAAGTTTTGTATCATATTAGTAAATACTTTTTTTCTAGTTATACAAGCAATGATTATGAAGGCATTTCAGATATATTTTTTTTTGCTGGGATTCCATAAACCAAAAACTTAATGAATCTAGTAATGAGTCTTTGGTAATTGAAGAAGTGGTTTTAATTTTGATTTGAGTTAAATGGTAATACTGCCTGGTTATCCAAAGATAATCTTGCCTGATAGCTGGATTTAGAACCCAAGTCTCAAGACAGTAGTCAAGTATTTTACTCTAAAATCATTTTAACAAGTAATCTTCATAATGCTTGTATTATTTTCTTCTCTATAGCTGTAATTTTCATGACTTCCCTTTTATTCACAAATTGTGTAATTATTTTTATTGCCTGGTCTGGATTTGTGAATAAAAGAGATTGTGACTAGCAGATATTTTTGCTATCCAAAAAAAAAAGTTAATATTTTGTTTTTTCATGTAAAACACAGTTGAGAAACTTTTAATTACTTCAGTTGTTTTTCGCCATAGCTTAGGTTTTAGAGCTATTTTTAAATGTTTACATATCTTTCTTTTATCTTTCTCTTATCTAAAGACGAAGACATTTGGAGGAGGTGGTGGTGGTGCTAGAAGTAATCTCAATACCAATGCTGCTGGTAACCGAAATAGGGAAGTTTTACAGAAAGAAAAGCCAACCAAATCAGAGGGAAAACATGAAGGTGTCTATAGAGAACTGGTAAGGCCAAAGAACCAATTACAAATTTAAAGTGTTTTTCTTTAAAGGATTCTTTTATTCTTTCTCATTACCACCACTGGCTTTGTGCAATGTATTATGGATAGATCTTATAACTCTTGAAGACTTTCATTAAGGATTACAATTAAATCATTAAAAATTTGGATTGTTTGAAAAATAATTTACTTAAAACTTCTATCTCACTTAAATTACTAATGTCCAAATATTATATTTTGGAATGGATTAATAAAAAGCCATCAAAAGATGATGCATCGAAGATATACATTTTTCTGTGCTTCCCCACATCTTTTATCAAATTTTGTCTAAAAATGATTTTATTTTGTTTTCTGCTCCTTTTTGGGAAAAATATTGTGAAGCAAGCATATGTATTATGTGGACCTAATTGCAAAACATACTTGAATTTTTAAGATAAAAGAGGAGTCAAACATATTTCTTGTATGCTGCAATGTTTTCAGATCTAAGGATGTTGGCAAAAATTCATTTTCCTTTGCCTTTAGAGGTAAATGACTGGTTGATTTCTGTCCTTAGGGTACAGAATATCCAAAAGAGCTTAAACCATGGGGGTTTACTATCTCATATAACAAGAAGTTTAGAATTACCAACAAATGTTGGTAAATTCTAGAGTATAACAATATCAGAGCATTCGTGGGTATTTCCATGATTTCTTGGCTTTCTCCTTAGGGTTCTATAACTGCCCAGTGGGTTCACCTTACCCACTGCCTAAATAGAGCTGATTTATCAAGACAGGGGAATTGCAATAGAGAAAGAGTAATTCATACAGAGCAAGCTATTGTGGGAGACTAGAGTTTTATTACTAAAATTAGTTTCAGCAATCATTCAGGGATCAGAGGTTTTTAGTTTTGTTTTTTGAGATGGAGTTTTACTTTTGTTGCCCAGGCTGGAGTACAGTGCACAATCTTGGCTCACTGCAACCCCCACCTCCTGAATTGAAGTGATTTTCCTGTCTTCTCAGCCTCCCCAGTAGCTGGGATTATAGGCACCTGCCACTAATACCCAGCTAATTTTTTGTATTTTTAGTAGAGATAGCATTTCACCATGTAGGCCAGGCTGGTCTCAAACTCCTGACCTCAGGTGATCTACTCACCTTGGCTTCCCAAAGTGGTGGGATTACAGGCGTGAGCCACTGTGCCCCTTGGGATCAGATCAGAGTTTTTTTTTTTTTTGGATGTGCTTTTACACAACAGATCAGAGTTTTTAAGGACGACTTGGTTGGTTGAGGGAAGCCAGTGAACCAGGAGTTCTGATTGGTTAGGTGAGAGATAAATCATGGGAATTGAAACTGTCCTCTTGCATTGAGTCAGTTCCTGGGTAGAGGCCACAAGGTCAGATGAGTCAGTTAATCCATCAGGGTATTGCCAGCTGATCCATAAAGTACAAGGTCTGCAAAATATCTCAAGCACTGATCTTAGGAGCAGTTTGAATCTTATAGCCTCCAGCTGATCTCATGGATTAGTGTAGTACATAATTTCCCACAAGTGTAGTGTAGTACATGATTTCCATCTAAAATTTTACTCGCTAAGGTAAAGAATTTCCTTTTGGGGCTCTGTAAAGTTCCTTGGTTTTATCTTCCTAAATGAACCTCTGGGTTATGGGCACCCTGCTCACTTTCATTACCTGACAGAATTTGCAGGATAATTGCCCAGAACTAGAATATTGATCCAGATTTTTACATTTTACATCCCTTTTTGTTTCTTCCAAGCTGTAGATCACCACTTGAATCACAGGAATAAGCAGGGTTAGTCTAAAATGTTGGCAAAGAAACTTAAAAACAATTAATGAGACTGGAATTTAATAACAAATGTATAAGCTATGGAGCATAATGATTGTCTCTAGTCCTCATTTTTGGTAAAAATAAATTATGATAGGACTGTGTTTTTCATAGAATAAACTTTAGTCTTATACTTGGCCTGATTATTTGCATAAAGTGCAGCAAGAATGGTTATTTCTGCATAGGCCTTTTGGATTGTCTTTGATGGAACTCTGTTCCACAAGGAATTTGAGATAAGATCTTTTATGTCTGTGCCTAGCCATGGGTTTTTATCTTCAGATACCTGTGAATTGGGTGATCCTCTCCTCTAAAGGCCGCAAGGTAAACTGGGAGCTCCTGGTCCTGATAGAAAGTGACATTCTTTATTGATCATAGGTTAGGAACCCTGTACAGGGACTTTATATGTAGGTATGAGGCCAGTTCTCTCCATGGGACTTTGCAAGTCAAGATTGCCTCCTTAAAGGGAAGCATATCCTTCTAGTCAAAGCCTTAATAAAATAACCAGTTTTTCTAATTATGTTATCTTGCAAAAGGAAAATGGATTCCTATTGCACTGATGCAAACAACTATATTGTGATAAGAGTCTCACTATAGTTTCCAAATTCTAGAGGAACCAGGCAGAGAGAAACAAACATGATTTGTTCACAGGAGTATACCTTACTCAATTATTAAAGGCCATAAATAGTTCAAAATAAGTTTCCTTGACTTTGAAAAACAAACAAGGATCAGGAATATTCTAAGGAAAATCAAAAAGTTTGCTTTAGCTCTCTGAATTCAGTCTCTTTCATTAAGCTGTTTTGTTTGATACTTGTGAACATTTCAGCGCTTCATGAATCCAGTAAATTTTTCCTCTATTCCAGTGTTACAATCTTCAAAGCTATTAGAATCCTGCATTTGAGAGCACCTGTTAAAGTCTTATAGCTTGATTGTAACCCATCTTTTGAGAAGGAACAAAGCAAGACAAGAATTGTCTGCAAATGACAAAATTTCCAACCTAGTTACAGTTAAAAACATGACTGATAAAGTTTAGTTATCTGTGGTTTACAATAACTTGACAACCTCAATTAATAGCATATATTTAGACATTAGAATTTTAGAAATTCTGTACAATTTTGGAACATATATTTGTATTATTTACCAAAATATAACTTAAAGAATATTGCAAATGAACATCATTTGGGTAATCTCATGTCAAACAATTCTGTTTCTCTCTTTTCTGGATGATTCAGAGCCCCTCTGAACCATCCAGAAAGCAAGGCATCAGGAAAGACAATTTTAAAACTTGAAGTTCAATGGTTGGGAAGCCTGCTAAATGTTGGAGGACTTAAAGCACTTGATGTTATGAAATAGAATTTCATATTGCCACAAATTATTTATTTTGTCAAAATGATGACTCAAAAAGCAAAAACCTTTCATTAACCTTTACTGTTACATGAAAATCCTGTTGAAAGCCCAGATTTTATCTTTGCATTAGTTTATTAATGTTAATCCCAATTTGTTTAAACAAAACCTTGTAGATGATTCCATGTAGTCTTAACCAGTTTGACCATGAGTTGAAATCTTTACAAACCTTTTATGACCCTGGCATCTTAAAACAACCTTGCTGTGCTTTTATTTCAATACTCAATTTATAAAAAGATCATATAATACTTTTTTGAATGTAGTTAATGTTTACACATTTTTTGCAAGATTAATTTTAAAAATCTTTTTATAACTTGCTTACACCTCTAGCTTTATCTTATCAAATGCTTTTAATTCTTGGGGTTTCTTAAAGAAAAGAGTGGCTTTTTTTCCCCCCCCCAAACAGGGTCTGTGGTGCCTCTTCTATTTTTCCTAAGAAGTCCCAGCTACCAAAAGTTGTCTTAGGACCTCTCTTGTGTGCATTGAGTGGCAAGACAAAAAAAATGGAGAAAAATAACCTTTTTCCAGAAAAATAACCTTTTTCTTCATCCCTGGAAAAAATTTATATTTTCATGCTTTCTTATAATCTTTTGCTAAAAAACACATTTTACTATTTTTATACACCTTGCCTGTAAAACTGTTTAGTGGTCTCAAATACATGTTGCACCATAAACACTTAGCAACTTTTACTTTTGGTGAAAAACCTGGTTACTGAGCTATTTTAATTATATATCAGGTGTGGAGGCAAGGACCCAGATAGAAGTGCAGATGAGGTCTGACTCTTTACAGCATCTAAGTCCATGTGTCCTAGGCCTTGTCTATTTGTAAAGCAGGCAGTTTACAACCTTGCAACATTAGCAAACCTAGTATCTGACTTGTATGATTTAGACTATTTGCATTTTGATGACACTTGCATTTTACCAATAATCCTTAAGACTTTTTGTTTCTTAAGGATTGAAGTCACATTAACTAAAAGACATTACAGCTTTTATCTTTCCTTAAAGAATATTTGATTTTAGTGCTTATTTTTCTTTAAGCCAATCAATTAGAGCTCTATTTATAGGCATTACACAGAACACATTATAGCAATACAGACAGGCAGAGTATTCAGCACTTGTATGATTTTTCATTTGCCAGTTTCTTAATTGGATTACTGGCTTCAGGGTAGAGCCCTTGGAGGAACAAGGCCAGGATAGTATGCATTTTTAGGGTCTAATAAGCAGGCATAGCTGAAAGCAAAGAGCCCCAAAATTAAGAGTGCTATTTTGCACTGGATCTTGGATCCCCAAAAGGAGGGAGATACTATAGGAGAAGACAGTGCAGTGCTTCTACCATGCATTTCATTGCAAGGCAACCCAAAGCCACTCAGCTTATTTTGTAACCATCCCCCATGAGAGTCCCATCTCTCAGTGGCGGGTGAGGATGTTTCTGTATCTTTCAGGTGACCAAGAGCTTGCTTCTCTAATTCAAAGTGCAGAGAGTTAAGTATCCTTCTATAACTACTATAAGGCATCCTTAAAGTATGTTTTCTATCTATTACACACCATAGCTCTCTCATAATGTGAAGTAATTTGATACCTCAAAACTGTCATATAACACAGTGCAAAACAGAATAGAGTCTCTGATTTTGAGAGGGAACTATCTGCTTTTAATTCTTGAGGTTTCATAAATAAAACAGAGTGGTTTTTTTTTTCCCCCAAATCAGGGTCTGTGGTGCCTCCTCAATCTTTCCTAAGGAGTCCCAGCTACCAGAAGTTGTCTTAGGGGCCTTTCTTGTGTGTATTAAGAACGG